ATTCAATGCAGCAAATGACATTGTCCATCGAGGAACCAGTGATGCTCATGGTACGAGTAAAGAAAAGGTTATCTTTCAATCCAGTTCGCTTTTGGTATGTTTTATACTTGGACTGTGCTTCTGACGTCTATCTTATATATCTGCATTTTATTGCTCACGTTCTATGTTAGGCCTGATTTGATGGGTTTTATAAGAATTCCAACGTATTCGTTTTCTTTTTCAGGTTCAAAACATAATATGCAATTGATTTTATTTTATCCAAAGATTCTAATTTCATTCAGGTATGTTCTCTTTGTTTTGTGTAATTTCTATGAAGGATGACCAGTAAATTGTTTCCCAGGCTAGCTTGATTGTTGGGCACATGTTATTATCTGCAAGACAGAAAATGCTTATGTTCCATGCAATAGACTTTGGAGGCACACATTTTTGACCTTATCCACAAAAGCCACTAGATCATGAAATTGACGAGATTCTAATTTACCTTTTCCTGAATGCCTGAGGCTGAATTAGAACAAAACTATGGCAACCCCTCCATGCAAAATAGGCCCATGCATGAATCATATATCTCATAAGATCACCGTGTTGCCCAACTTTACACTGCCTAATACATCGGAGGTTAGAGTTGTCTATCTTCTCTCGAGTTGTTTTTCTAATTATTAGGGTGCTGGATTTTGCATTGTCAATAAGTAACAATCAGACATGACATCAGTCCATATGCACTATAACTTTTGTATGCTAATCTACCCTCAAAATATGATGAGTGTATGCTTGCTATAGAGAGTGGATGGATATGTTAAGCATGCTTTGTAGCATAATCAGATTATTTGCCCAGTAACCAAATATGAAAAGTACCCCATGGTAGTCAAACACAATACAGCTCGGGTACCCCAAGTAGATGCAGCCGACCTCCAAGTTGCCAAGTTATAAAGGTTAATCTTACATACAATCAACAGAACTAAACATGTACGTAAGAGTAATGTACATTCAAGAAAGTTATCTACTTATTTTTACAATGTTTTTTTTTTGGAAAGTGATCGGGATAATTTTTTTTGTTAATGCCATGTCTATACTGGAATTACCGAATTCACGGAGTTTACAGCATACTCAGCAAAGCCTAGAAACAACTCAACATTGTGTTTGCCGATTTCTGTTCTCGATCGGCAAACAACACTCGGCTGGACGGACATGAACAATCATTAACTTTACGGAGTTCTTATTGTCAGTCACTCGACAAACATTTAAATAGCCATTTGCCGAGTTTCAAATAAATGAAAACTCGCCAAACTAACACGTTAGGAATCATATGCATGTTAATTCATGGGAAACTCATATATAGGGTGGCAGATGATGGACATGCGAGATGTGTGCCAGTTTACTTGGTTTGATAAATACGATTGTAGGTAAGTATGGTATCTGTATTTCGGTAAATACAGCATGCATGTATAATTTTTTTTGGTTTCATTATATATAGAATTATGTCAGGAATGTTTTTCTATATACCATATTAGCCAAGTTCATGTGAATGCAAAATAGAGACGAAACAGGTTACCTCTCTCTATATGTTAATGTATGAGTACTTAACTTTCAGGAAACCACATGATTATTTTCTCTATGCATGACTTTATTATATAAGTTGGTGACCAGGATTTTATCTTTTTATGAGAATTTATTGGAACAATATAAAAAGTAATAAAAATGGTTTCTGATGCGTGCATCTATTAATGTTTTTTCGTTCATTCTGTGGGCGGAATAGATGTTAAGTGAATGAACAATAAGAATATTTTATTTTCTATGTGTTAAAGGCATTATATACCAAGATTAGAGCTGATAAAAAAATTGATTATTTTCTGTACGTAGAGAACATTTGGGTATATGCGATCATACCATGTTCTATTATTTTAAGTATTAAATTTTAACAATGATAAGATTTGAATATTAAACATATATGGTCATAGGACAAGATGGATCTGTTCCAATATAAATATGAAAATTATTGATTTCCTTACTCCCAGTAGATAAAATATAGTCTCAAAACATTATCCAATTGTAGGTTACAAAACTAGGCCGTGCGAATACACGGGTTGGCGGCTACTATACTAAAAGACTAAGAATATACATCTGTTCAAACGTTTTCAGTCCCTATGTGTACTTCCATAAATAACTAGCCCGTGCAACACGGGTTGATGACTAGTTTTCAACTTTTCATTAATTGAGATTAGGTTTATATACACATCAATTGTGTACGAGAGGCTTAGTCTAGCGCCAACTAATCCAGCATGCCATCTCCTATGCAGTGGGTTTCTTCGTTAGATCATGGCTGTTTGTCACAAAAAGGTAAGATCATGATTGTTTGCCAAAGAAAAAGCAAGATCATGGCTTGCTACATTTCGGTCACTATGGACTTCAACTCAAGTTAGTCTTATCATTTCGGTCAGCTTCGTAGTTGACTATATATCTCTCCCCGCAGGTTTGAATTACATGGTTATAGTCCAATGCATATCTTTAACCATAAATTTATATTACGTTTTTTCAAAAGAAATATTTATATTAAGATAGTCATTTTTGAAATAAATCTATAAATATGAATTTCACAAATCCAATCAAACTATTTTTTTTAAATATTGGTGGTCAAAATTTTAGAAGTTTGATGGAAACTATATGTACATAAAAACCGCTGGGGGATTATAGTCTATGACACGCATTTGCACATATAGTTAGTGTAAGCCGACCCAGTATAACAGTATACAAGGATTGATAATAACCTTAACGGGTTTGCTATTTCTCAGACTGACCGAGAAATTGCTATTTCTAAGTTAGGCTGCGCCATAGTCACTCCGTAAGGAGGAACATGCGATTGTATAGATTTAGGATTTGCAAAATGGTGATTAGGCTTACGTCCACATCAACTAAGTACGAGGAGGCTTCGAAAGAAAATCGAAGTACGAGGGGACTATCAGACTAGCACCAATTAATCCAGCACGCGGTCGTCCTCCTATGCACTCGCCCCCGTACTTCAAAGAATCAAAGGGGCTAGCGTCAGATCTGACATGGTAACAACCTAAGAGCAACTCCAGCCGCGCCCCCAACAAAGCCCCCAGACGATTTTCCGGCCGCCGGCGTCAAAAAATCGGCCCAGTCGTGCCTCCAGGGGGCGTTTTTCGCCGGCTCGGGCCGAAATTGGCGCCGGCGGACCCAACTCGAACCCGGCGCGCTGGGGGCGCTCGGGAGCGCCGGGCGAATATTTTTTGGCGCGAAAGCTCCATGGGCCAGCCGCGTCAGCGACTCGACTTGCTTCTCGCCGCTTTGTCGTCCTCGTCGCCTCGTTTCCCGCGGCAAATCAATGCCAAAGCTGCGCGCGCTGCCGCGCCGGCCAGCCTCCATTGATGCCTCACGGGCGGCGCAGTGAAGGCCGGGCGACGCGCGTCCCCTCGCCCGCCATGCCTCGCGCCGGCCAAGCCTACCGCGCGGCGCCTCCACCTATATAAGCCGAGAGCAGCGCGCCGGAGACATGCACAAACACTTCACCGCCGACGCGCCCACTTCTTCCCCTTCTCCTCTCGCCGTCTCCAGCTCAGAAGGATGGCCGAGCGCTTCCCAGGCGACGGCGCGGCGGCGAATGGTTTCGGGCGCCGCCATCTGCACGAGGACGAGGCTCGCCTCCTCTTCGAGGCCGAGTACCCGGCCCCGCCGGACATGCGAGTGCCCGGGGCGTGGCGGATCAGCGCCGGCGGCGTGCCGGCGCCACCACCACCAACCGGGGCGGCGTGGCGTGCGCAGATCGCACGCATCCGCGCGTCCCTGCCGCGAGCGGCGAGGGAAGGCCCGCGGTACACCCCCGACCTCCCGCTCTGGGAGCCCTACTTCTGCCGCCGACACGCCGAGCAGCTCGAGGCGACGAACGGCGTCGTGCCCTCCGGCAGGCTCAACTCCAAGGGTCGGCGCCAGTGGTGGGGCGTGCCCGGCCGCACGCTGGAGGCCGTCCTCGAGTACATCGAGGGCGGCAACACGCCGCGCCTCGAGTACCCCGCTCCCCCGACCTTCTCACGCCGCCGTGGGAGCTCTTGGACGCCGAGGCGTATGGAGCGGCCCGGCGCGTCCTCCTCCTCCGGCCACTCGTCGGGCTCTCCCTGCCTCCGCCCTGTCAAGCCGGAGCCCCAGGACACGCCGGTCAGCGCGCGCACCCGCAGCTCCAGCGTCCGCATCGGCGACTCCACCCCCCCCATCCGGCCGCTTCGTCCTCGTCGAGCTCAAGCCGGAGCCCAGCCTCCCCGCGGAGTACGAGGAGATAGCCCGGCGCGGCTTCTCCGACGAGGACGCCCTGCAGTGGGCGCGGGACGACTACCTCCGCGACGAGATGGTCCGACAGCGCCAGGCCCTGGAGGAGATCGAAGCCCGCAAGCGCGGGCGCGAGGACGAGCACGGCGTCGTCATCCTCGACAGCGACGACGACGAGGACACCCCCGGACCGTCCAACCCGCCGCGCCAACCGGGGAAGGGATGCAGCAGGGACGGCGGCGGTGGAGGCGGCGGCAACGACAACGACGACGACGGCGGCGGCGACTACACGAAGTTCTACAGCCTCCTCGGCATGTAGAACTGCGAGGGCGGGCGGCGGGCGGCGGGGAGCGGCGAGGAGCGGCGATGGAGACGGCGAGTGGCGGCCCCTAGTAGTTTTTTTCTTCTTTTTTACAAAATATGTTTAAGTTTGAACGAACTCGCCGAAGTTTGCAATGAATTTGCACCGTGTTTAAATTTTTTAAAATACCGTGGGCGCCGCGACTGGGGGGCATCACGCCCCCAGCGCGCGGGTTAGCGCCGGTGCGCCCCCAGGGGGCGATTTTTAGCCTTTCCTGGGGCCAACGGCTGGAGTTGATCTAACAAATAACAACCTCACCGTACGCGTCCATCGCATATAAATACAGGCACAGCTTAGCAAGACGTTCACAATAAAAATACTCATGGAGCTGGCTCACGTAGTGCTAGGCTTTGCTGCTCTTACCATGATGCTGGTGATTTCCAGATATTACGCCATGGCACTATGGCATCTGGTGTGGAGGCCCTACGCCGTGACCCGATCGCTAGGACGACAGGGCATTCGAGGGCCACCGTATACATTCGCCGTCGGGTCCCTGGGGGAGTGCAAGCGGATGATTGTTGCTGGGAGAGCAAAGCCTCTCCACGCCGGCTGCCACGACCACTGGTGGAAAAACAGGCTTCCGTCCAGCCTCATAAATCGCGAAGCTGTAGGAACCGCGACTAATGGGACCTTTAGTCGCGGTTCTGGAGGTGAACCGCGACCAAAGGCCTGGGCCCAGGGCGCTCGGTGGCCAGCTGGCGCACGTGAGGGTCTTTAGTCGCGGTTGGCCAGGACAACCGCGACTAAAGGCCTTCGGGCACCTTTAGTCACGGTTTGCCAGGCCAACCGCAACTAAAGCCCCTCCCCTATATATACCCATCCAGCAGCCAACACTTAGCCATTTGGAGCCATTCTCTTCACAAGTGGGTGTAGGTTTGCTTTTGGTTCCTCTTATGCACATAAGGTGTTTGATGAAATGCCCCAAGAGCATGAAACAAACATGACATGAAGTGTTGGAGCCACACTCCTCGATCGCGGTTAGCAACTTGATGAACCTTTGATGTGTCATTGATAAAATATGC